TGAATATACTTGAATAGGAAGTTACACCACCACACGATGACATTTTCTTTTACAGTGGCAAAGTGCCACCTCTCTTTTTAAATTTTTCACATCTTGTCACTGTGACATGTTTTACGACTCTTTTACTTCCAGGTCCCCATAAAGGATGACAACTGGCAAAAAGCCTGCAGTTCCACGCAGGCTAGGCCCAGTATAATAGCGGTAAATGAGAATGGAGTGGTTGTTGTTTTAGGAGTTTGTTTAGATGGTTTGGTGTGGTTTATTAGATTACGGCAAAGCACTCGAGGGCTATCTGCCTTAAGGGAGGGATGCCTTCGTGGAGGACTTTTTAAGGGAAACTGGCTCGTATACACGTTACACATGGGGAAAACCACGAAAACACCCATGCAGCCAGCCCGTTCGCGGGATTCGAACCTCGGACCGAACTACTAGTGTTCAGCGACGTTACCGCTCGGCCACTGTTGGGCCCCGGAGTGTAATACTTCTTTGACGATATGAAGCAACTCCAATGATGGAACACAGCAATAACTTTTTATTTAACACTCAAAAAAATGGCGACATACAAAACAAGAAGAGAAAACATATTCTGTCATTTAAAAATAAATTACATTCTTCGTGCGAGAGTCGCACGAGGTACTCGAGTCTGGTTTCAAATATTGCCATTCACAAATACCTTAATGTTCATCTATTTAAATTATTTAATCTACAAGATTTTAATATTATTTAAAGCTGCTACAGGAGTTTGTTTAGAAAACCTGCTGTTGTTGACTGTAGCGAATTCGCGAATTAGCTTGCTTTAGCTGTTTTGAATCAAGTTCTTTTGAACGTTTGAATAGTTAAAAGATAACTACTGCGAGATTTTGTAATACTGCGCGAATATCTGAGGAAATTTAAGCATTTTTTGTTGTGATAATAATAAATTTTGTTCATTTTTCATCGGACATGTGCATTCATTTCATAACCAGCCCGTACGCACGCAACAATATTAGGTGCAGAAATTTTTAATAACTTAAAACCGTTCATAGTAAAAGATGAGGTGATTATTAATTCCTTATTTCACGTTCATTATATATCCATTCTCTGCAAATGTAATCTCCGAAAGTATGAGACAAGTCAGTTTTCGCATATAGCAAAACATAATACGCAGTAAATTCACTATTTATAGTCAGTTAGGAAGATTAAAATTTATTTTGGAAATTAGACTACTATAGAATTGGATTAGAGAATTAAAGACACGTATGTTTAAACTGAATATTACTTTATGAATATTGCCCATTTTTAATGTGTAATATCTTTCTTACCTTTGTGTGAAAATAGTGTTGTTCAGAGAAGGAAGTTTCTTTCCTTATACACGTGTATTATATTCAGCAACAATACTGAATGCTCTTTTTTATTTCATTTAACGCAACAGAATATTAGAAACAGGAAAGATATGGTCACTAACATGGAAATAACATATCCAGTTGGAAAGGAAATATTTCTGCAATGTGCAAGGAAACGAACGCAACAAAATTACGATAATAATTTACTTACAAGCATACAGTGCTTTTACAGTTGGGTCGAAATCGTTGCTTAATCCAATGTGTTTTGGTTTTTGTACTAAATTCTACAATTGGCTATTTATATAATTTAAGAGCTTAAGTTTGCGTCTGGTATTAACAGCATCTTTAAAGGATTTTATAATTTTATTATTTCATAAAACAGGAAGCCAGCTGCAGAAACTGCAAGTAAATCTTTTCGTCTGGCATAACTGTTAAAAGGAAAACAAATGATAATTTTAACATTCCCGTGTCCCTCATGCGCGTCATTCAACGGAAAAAAAACCGTAAGAATCTCTTCTAAATGTCAGTACGCCAAGAGAAAATGTTGTCATAGGAAATTATGTCCAATCACAAGCACGGAGCGTGGCGCGGTACAGAATGCTTATATGCGTCCCGTGATATACTTCATTACAGGGGTCGTACACCTTAAAACCCTTAAGATCTTCGAATATATTATTATTTGAAAGAATTGGGATAACTTATTTATTTTAAAGGCAATTACTTTCAACTTTTTACAGGTGACTACGTAATACAGCTGCTTTGGGAGCAGAAAGTTTGTGTTGCCACAAATATTTGTAGAATTTAATCTGTTCTACCATGCGCGCATAGTATAAATCATTCTGTTGCATAGTTTAATTCCATATTTAAGATATAGCTTTTATAACATTTAAAAATTACGAGCCAAAAATCCTAAGTATTTCATGTTAAATTCTTTTTTTTATTTAGAGTTGAGTTTATAATATGTATTTTATTTTTAAAAAAAATCTGTAATGCTTTCTTGTATAATTTTTTTTAATATTAAAATATTCATCAGATTTTTGGTTCAGTTAGAAGATAGTGCCCATATAAAGAATTCCATCCAATTTCAAGCATGTGCCATTAGCCATTTTTAAAATATCATGCGCGCAAGGTGGTATCATGCGCGCATAAAAAAGTTTGTCACAAAGCACCTTAAATTATAAAAATATTTGGAGCAACACAAACTTTCTGCTTACTATTTCCCAAAGCAGATATATTATGTAGTGAGCTGTGGAAAGTTGGAAGGAATTGCTTTTAAAATAAACAAGTTATCTCAATTCTTGCAACAGTACCATATTATAAGATTTTAAGGTGTACGAGACCCTTTAAAAGCTTTTCAATCAAATTTTATTTAGGTTAGCTGTACGTTATAAAGCATTGTTACTTTGGCTTGTATTTTGCATGACGTTATCGGCAATAAGCATTCTGCAGAATATAAAAAGTATCAGGAGATGATAAGCTTATAAAAGAGGAGATTTTTAAATGTCGAATTCTCCAACATCCATGACATATAAAAATTTTTCTGAGAAAGAAAAAAATCTGAAGGTTTTCAGATTTTATATTACGCCCAAAGGGGCGTTTTTTTAACGTTTTGTGTATTTATTTACCTTTATTTATTAAATATCATGTTCTTCGCACTTAAACCATAAAATTCAATTCAATGGCAATATCACAAAATATTTAAAAGCGAATATCTATAGAATTTCTGATACACAGTCTCTCGCGCTGGAAATTAATAAAATGCTTTTTTTTGGGGGGGGGCGGTACAGTGTTGCCATTGCTCACTTTGAAATCGTCGAGTTTCTGACCATAAACTCATAAATGTGTTACAAAGTATGAAATAGGTACTAAAACAAATTCCAAATTCGGGCTTCCAGATGCCCATATTCGGATGTACATTATTCAAAATTGGATGGCTCTGGTTACAGTCGTTTTATCACAATACGAGAAACATACATACATTTATGCACATTCTTCATTATTTAATTTCTTTAAATATAAGACAGGGTTCTAATATTTGGTGGCAATAATTTAAAAAGTGATTCGAACTAAAAAAAAAATTCTGAAAGCTTTCAAATTTTATATTATGCTCAAAGGGGCGTTTGTTTCATTTACACATACAATCACGTTTCCAAACCATTTGGGCTAATTCCGCTTTGAGCTAAAAATATTTAAAAGCAGCATATCTTTAGAATTTCAGGTAGACAGTCTCGCGCGCTGGAAATAAAAATAATTTATTCCGCATAGTGTGTTGCCACTGCTCGCTTCGAAATCGTTGTGTTTCTTAATAAAATATTTGTTAAAGTTTAAAAGATCTGAAACAGATAATAATAACGTAAATTTAACGAAATTTAATTTGAGGAGTACGTTATTCAAAATTGGATGGCTCTAGGTATCGTTTTTTCATAATGCGAGAAACAATCATACATTCATGTAAATTCTTCATTATTTAATTTCATTTTTTAATTATCAATATAATACAGGGTGATAATATTTGGTGATAACAATTTAAAAAGTGATACAGCCGTAAATCGGACAAATTACAAGAATTACAAGAATATACATCAGGGATAACCGTTTTTATACTTCTTCCGAGCAATAAAATGTTCTGAGTGAAAAAATATCAATTTCCCTTGAAGGATTAAAATGATATTAAATGCAAAGTCACAAATTTTCAAAAATGATATTAAATGCAAAGTCACAAATTTTCAAAATTGATATTAAATGCAAAGTCACAAATTTTCAAAAATGATATTAAATGCAAAGTCACAAATTTGTTCTGAGTGAAAAGATATCAATTTCCCTTGAAGGATTAAATGATATTAAATGCAAAGTCACAAATTTTGCATTTAATTCTGAAACTAAATGCATCGTCCTAAAGTAGATAGTAGTCTGCAAAAGTCTGAAAAAAGGAAAAAGAAAGGGATATCTTTTGAAGCATATCAAATATATTGCAATAGTAATTTTCTCCAATAATCAACAGAATAATAAATATTACCTAAATTTCTGAGGTACTATTTTTTCTGTCATAAAAACTGCATTAAAGACAGTTTAAAAATTAAAAGTTTAATTAATTCATTTCTAAGTATAATACTAAGGCTCGCTTTTTAACTCCAAAAGCGTCAGCCCAGAAAGGCATTTTAAGTTGAAATTAATTTCGTTTAATTTCATTTTGGCATTTTAAGTTTAAAACTTTAAATTTCGGTTCACTTTTCAAACAGTTGCCGTCAAATATTACAGCCCTGTGTTATATTTAAAGAAATTAAATAATGAAGAATCTGCATAAATGTATATATGTTTCTCGCATTGTGATAACGATTTCAAAGCGAGCAATGACAACAATGTAAGGGAAAAAAATTTTTTTTTATACCCAGTGCGCCAGACTGTGCATCGGAAATTCTAAATATATGTCCGTTTTAAAATTATTTTGCGATATTGCTGTTGAACGGAATTTTATGGTTTAATTGCGAAGAACATGATATTTAATCAATAAAAGTAACCCACAATACGTTAAAAAAAACGCTCCTTTGGGCGGAATATAAAATCTAACTGCTTTCGTATTTTTTTTTTTTTTTTTAGTTTATTTGATATATATCAGGAATGAAAAACGAGTGATTAACGCCTATATTGATGATAGTTCTATCTTCATTTCATTTCTAGGTTATCATTGTTCCACATTCACATACAGACCCAGGATGGCTGAGAACGTACGATGACTATTCCGATAATTATGTTAACCACATTTTGGACAACATGGTTTTATTTTTGAATAAAACTGAAGACTTTAAATTCATCTGGTCAGAAATTTCTTTTTTCTCCAAGTGGTGGCATAGGTAAGAATTTTATTTTCCTTTACTCCTTTCCACTGGGAAGATAATCTGGATAATACGTACATAAACAGAAGAACTTATATTTTTAAATTGAAGTATGTGATTTGACATTCCGTTGGATATTTAATATGAATATATTAGACATATGTCGTACATACATCGCTATTTTAATACAAAAAATAATCTGACGGTGACTTCCTTGTTTGGCCATTTATACATGTAAATTTTTCACATTTTTTGCTGCACTTAACTTATTTCCTCGAATTATTCTAACTTAATTAAGATAGCTTTCGAGACAAGTTTAAAATGATATAAAAAACTGCAAAATTTAAAATTAAATATCCCGGTCAATTTTTCTCGTAAGAGACTCAAATTTCTTGTAATTTATTTATTTATTTTTTTTTTTTCATAACAAATATAAAACTTTACCAAATACAAGAGCCTGGAGACCGAATTAAATGGTAGATTTTGTTACTTGTCGGAAGTTCTTTTTCTTTTTAGTCCAAAGGAGCAATTTACCCAGAAGGACTATTAATTTCGTTTTACATTTTGAGTTGATTCACGATAAACGTTTTTTCACTTTTCAAATTGTTGCCACCGAATATTATCGCCCTGTATTATATTTAAAGAAATTAAATAATGAAGAATCTGCATAAATGTATGTATGTTTCTCGCACTGTGATAAAAACAACGGTACCTAGAGCCATACAATTTTGAATACCGTAATCCTACTGCGAATATAGACATCTGAAAGCCGAAATTTGAAATCAGGAATTTGTTTTATTATCGATATTATAACCTTAACGAATTTTTGATTAACATACTCAAGGATTTCACAGCGAGCAAGGGCAGCGTTGTAAAATTATAAACATATGCTCATTTTAAAATTATTTTTGCGATATTGATGTTGAACTGAATTTTATGGCTTAAGTGCGAAGCACATGATATTGAATGAATAAAGGTAACAAACAAAATGTTACAAGGAAAAAAAAAAAAAAAAAAAAAAAAAGCCGCTCCTTTGGAGGTAATTTAAAATCTGAAAAATTTTAGATTTTTTAATCCAAAGGGGCTTTGTCTCTGAAGGACTACTGTTATCGTTTTGCGATTCACTACAAAGGTCCGTTTCACTTTTCGAACTGTTGCCACCCAATGTTAGAGTCCTGCATTATATTTGAAGAAATTAAATAATAAAAAATCTTCATAAATGTATGTTATATTTCTCCCATAAAACAACAGTACATAGATCCATCGAATTTTGAATGATGTAATCCTACTGCGAATATGGGCATGTAGAAGACCAAATTTGAAAATTGGAATTTGTTTTATTATCGATTGCATATTTTTAACGAATTTTTGATTAACAAACTCAAGGATTTCAAAGCGAAGAATGGCAATGTTGTACATAAAAAACATTTTTATCCTCCTGCGCGCGAGACTCTGTATCGGAAATTCTAGAGATATGTTCATTTTGAAATTTTTTTTGCGATATTGCTGTTGAACTGAATTTTGTGGTTTAAGTGGAAAGGACGTGATATTTAATAAATAAAGGCAACAGACAAAATGTTAAAAAAATGCTCCTTTGGTCGTAATTTAAAATCTGAAACCTTTCAGATTTCCCCTTTTTTTATTTATTTATTTTTTTAAACAGGAGGCGTAAAAAGTGTGCAGTGCTCTTGCTGGAACTCGAACCCTGGACCTCTGGATTCCGCGTCGAAAATTACACAACCAAGGCATGCGGAAAGAGGGAGGAAATACCTTATATACTTCCCCTTTTAAAGGCCATCTGGGAATTAGGGGACCCAATTGCCACATCCTGTTGGTGACGACCACCTCCTTTAGTTCGGGCGCCAGTTGTATAGTCATTAGATATTTTTAAAGCGGGAGACGTAAAAAATGTGCAGTGCCCTCACCTGTACCCGAATCATGGACCGCTCGAATACGCGTCGAGTACACCACGAAGGCATGCGGAAAGATGAGAGAATATACCTTATATGCTAAATGTTGGAATCTCCCTAAATATACAGCAAAGCATGACTTTCAGTCTATCCGATAATGTAGGATGCCAATCAATTAACTTCAAATTTTCTTTTAAAAGAAATTTGATATAAAACTCAGTCATTGCTGGCGACCTCACAATTATTGGTGATCAATCGATGGACTGCTTGAAGACCATCGACTGCTCAGTATTGACCAATTGTTATCATTAAAATAATTTATCAAAGCAGTTCTCGAAGTCAGTACTGTTCTAATCACCACTGTAATTACCGTGTTTAAAAAAATATAATACACGACTACGTGGATGTTTTCCTGAAGTTTGAAGTATTTCTATTGACGAACTCATTCTGAATAATGTTGTGCTACCTAATATTTTACTACTGCTTAAAATTTCTTGACTAATTTATCATTCCATAAATTAAAATTACGATTCTTCTGCCTTTTTATCAGCTCTGCGTTTATTTAAATAGGCTAAAAATTTAACATTTTACAAGTGATTCGTTTTTATATGTGTGAACACCTGCGCATAAAAAGAACCAATTTCCTATTTTAATTTATCAAATATGATATTAAAAATGTTAATATCTTTGGCCCATAAAGTTGAGTTATAAAATATAATTGTTCTTTTTGAGTAATTTGAAGAATTAAAATTAAAAATTAACAATACTTTTACTTAAACTAGGTGTTTAAAAGCATTTTGAAAACCAGTGACTGATTTAAACAAATTTTCTTCACAAAAGCATTTTAAATCATTACAAAAAGTTACCTTTTTTCATTTAGTCTAATAGAATACGGTGCTTTCGATTGTAATGAAAGAACGCACACAAAAATCATTAGCCCAAAGAACGTTTAGCCCAGAAGGGATATTAATTTCGTTTTGGCATTTTGCGTTGACTCGCTATGAACGGCGAATCACTTTTTAAACTGCTGCCGCCGAATATTAGAGCCCTGTCTTATATTTAGAGAAATTAAATAATGAAGAATCTGCATAAATGTATGTATGTTTCGTGCCTTGCGATAAAACAACGGTACCTAGAGCCATCAGATTTTGAATAACGAATATGGGCATCTGAAAGCCCAAATTTGGAATTTGTTTCATTATCGATTTCATATTTTGTAAAGCATTTATGAGTTTTTGAAGTAGAACTCAATGTTTTCTCAATGTTTTTTAAGAAACTCAGTGTTTTCAAAGCGAACAATAACAATACTGTATGAAAAAAAAAAAATCTGTATCGGAAATTCTAAAGATATTCTCTTTTAAATATTTTGTGATATTGCCGTTGAATTTAATTTTATGGTTTAAGTGCGAAGACGATGATATTTAATAAATAACGGTAACGCACAAAACATTAATAAAAAAAACGCCTCTTTGGTCTTAATATAAAATCTGAAAGCTTTCAGACATTTAGCCCAAGGGACGTTAGCCCAAAAGGCTATTAATTTCGTTTGGCATTTTACGCTGAAACGTTTAAATGTCGGTTTACTTTCCAAACTGTTGCCACCAAATATTACAGCCCTGTATTACACTTAAAGAAATTAAATAATGAAAAATCTGTATAAATGTATGTGTTTCTCGCGACGGTACGTAGAGCCATGAAATTTTGAATAACGTACTTTTCCACCCGAATATGGACATCTGGAGACCCAAATTTGAAATTTGGTTTATTATCTATTTCATATTTGGTACAACTTTAATGAATTTTTGATTAAGAAACTCAACGATTTCAAAGCGAGCAATGAGTACAATGTACGGAAAAAAAAAAAAAAATCTTTAGGTCGCGAGACTGTGTATGGGAATTTCTAAAGGATATGCTCATTTTAAAATTATTTTGTGATATTGCTGTTGAGCTGAATTTTATGGTTTTTAAATGGGAAGAACATGATATTACATAAATAAAGGTAACCCACAAAACGTTAAAAAAGCACCCCTTTGGGCGTAATGTAAAATTTGAAAGCTTTCAATATTTTGTTATTATTTATTTATTTCATATTTAAACAAGTAATCTTTTCCCTTTTTATTTCAGACAAAGTTTCATTGTCCAGAATATGATGAAAAGAATTCTTGAAAGAAAGCAGCTGGAAATAGTTACTGGTGGATGGGTTATGGCAGACGAAGCAACGACAAGTTATTTTGCTGTAATAGACCAGCTTGTTGAGGGTCATCAATGGTTAAACCATTTCATCAAAATTAAGCCCCAAAATGGTTGGTCAGTCGACGTTTTCGGTCATTCAGCCACAATGCCCTATTTGTTATCATTGGCTGGTATATCAAACATGGTTATTTTGAGAGCACATTACGCTATTAAAAAATTATTTAGCTACATGAAATGGTTTGATTTCTACTGGGAACAGCCTTTTGATTCCCCGAGAGTTCTTTGTCATATGGCACCTTCAGATTTATACAGTTTCAAACATGTATGTGGCCCAGATCCTTTCGTCTGCCTGAAATTTGACTTTCGTCAAGTTGGAGGGGAATACTCGGAGAGCACTTCTGATGCAATCACAGAGCAGAATGTAGAACTAAAAGCAAATTATTTACTGTCACAGTATGGAAGATATGCATCTCTTTTCGAACACAACGTTCTGCTTGTACCACTAGGGGATGATTTCCGTTATAATGTCTATATTGAATGGGTTCAACAGTATGAAAATTATAAGAAATTGATGAATTATATCAACAATAGACATGATTGGCATGTTGAAGTAAAATTTGGAACGCTATCTGATTATTTTCATGAAGTGCATGAAAGATTAAAAACTAATGTCTCAAAATCTGTGCCTTCAGTTCAGGGGGATTTTTTTCCATACGCTGATATATATGTAAATTCTCGCCCATCATACTGGACTGGTTTTTATTCTACTAGACCTTTCTACAAAAAACTTGCTCAAGAACTGGAACATTGGCTTAGAACAGCAGAAATTCTTTATTCCTTTGCGAAGACTATTGTCGCTAAAAACTCTATGAATATGCTGTTGAAAGATTACAATTCTTTGTCATCGGCAAGACAACACCTGGGTTTATTTCAACACCACGATGCAATAACTGGAACTTCTAAAGAAATGGTTATGTCAGATTATGGCCGTAAACTTCATTCGGGTGTAATTGATGCAATGTCTGTAGTATCTCATGCGAGTCAATTTCTTTTAATGGAAAATATTCAGAATGGTAGAACTTGGACTTCTCAGATTTTTCCGGATGTTTACAGAGCATCACATACAGAATCATCTAAGAAGTTATCGATAGTCATTTCAGAAAATGGAAGAAAAATCATTGTATTTAATTCTTTAACATGTAGGCGCACAGAAATAATACGTATTAAAGTTAGATCACCACAGATCAAAGTTTTTGACTCTATGGGAAATGATGTTCCCTCCCAGATTAATCCGGTGTGGAAGGATTCTCTCGTTATCTCTAACAGTGTATTTGAACTTGTTTTTGCGGTCAGATTGCAACCATTATCTTTTTCTACCTTTACGTTAGCTAAAAATTTGCAAGATAACTCTCTACACTCGACAAAAGCAGTGATATCCCTTTTTCTGAAGGACGATGTAATGTCACCACTAAAAAATTCTGCATTTAAATTTGAAAAACCAAACGGTAGCGATATACTGGTAGAATCCGCTAAACTTAGTGCAAGATTTACGCGTAATGGTATTTTGAAGGAGATTCACATGAAAGATGCTGGAGTTTCAAGAGAAGTTGGTATTGATTTCTATGCATATATTCCAAAGGAATATCAGAGTGGAGCTTACTTGTTTTATCCTGAATTCAGTGAAGCGATACCTCTCTCTAACCTAAGTGAGCATTTTCCATTATTGTGTCTCATTCGTGGTTCTGTTGTATCTGAACTGAATATTGTGTACTATAACTTTTTAAAATTTGCAATACGTTTATACCATTTTGAAGATGCTCCAGCAGGCCTGCAGGTGGAAATTTCGTCTGATCTTTCGAAGATAAATAAAGATATCGAACTAATTATGAGAATTAAGAGTGATCTAAAAAGTTCTGATACATTCTACACAGATTCCAATGGTTTCCAAATGTTAAAGCGAAAATATCTACATGAATTACCAGTTCAAGGAAATTATTATCCAGCAACGAATGGGATATTTATAGAGGATGAGAAATTTCGATTAAATCTTCTCATTCCATACAGCCATGGTGTTACGTCACCTACGTCAGGTGTGATTGAAGTTATGCTGGACCGCAAAATGCGAAATGATGACGGACGTGGTATGGGAGAAGGTGTCGAAGACAACAGATCAATTTCGGCTACTTATTGGCTTATCCCAGAAATAATTGATGCTAAAACCTTTCAAAGAAATTTTCTATCTCCTGAAGCGTTTCTGTTATCCCTGTGTCTTCAATACCCTCCTGTAACACTCATTACTGAAAATGCTGAAGCTCTGTTAAAAAGGCCCCACATGTCATTCTTATCTTCACCATGGCCCCTTGATGTCCATCTAGTGAATTTGCGCAACCTGGCACTGGAAGAAAATTATACGATTCCTTCAGATAGCTCTTTATTGATAATATACGATAGGAATGATGACTGTAAAGTAAATAACTTCGCGGAACTCGTATTTGAAGAATTTAATGTTGCCATGTTTTCTGAAGTACATGTTAATTCAATTGAAAAAACTACTCTGACCGGGACAGAAGAGGACATAGTTTCTATTTATAGTTCCTCTTCAAAGCTTCGAGTTTATAAAATTACGTTCAGCTGAAACAATGTAAAAATATATTCATATATGTAAGTATGTACATATGTATGTATAGAAAGAAAGAAATAGGTAGATAATATGAATGTATTAAATATTCATTTATTACATAAGAAACTTGGACCAAATTAAATCGTGAGGAAAAATTTCTTAAATAAGTTCCTGCAAAAATCCATGACTGATTTATATATTCTCAAAAGTGGTGAATCTGGACAAATGGGGAAAACTTTAGAGGCTGATAGAAAGCAGCAATACGAGCAATATTCGTCATAGAATGTATGGCCGGAACGCAAGTGGTGAGAAGTTAAAGTGTACTTTTTTCACTGCCACACTTAAAGAATTAACACAATAATGAGAGGAGATACTTCAGAAAACATTTTATTAACAGAACATGCTCACACAAATTGCTCATCCGCCAGCTGTAATGCGGGTACATTTGCGAAGAAAGCAGCCATTTCCCGAATATCACCGGCAGAAACGGTGATCCTGGCGACTAGATCCATATTAGTTTTAATGGGTCACTCGTAAATTAGGCTTTTCATATAGTCCCACATGATAAAGTCCAAACACGCGAGATCCGCTGCTCTTGGTGGCCAAGCTATGGGACCACCTCGACCGATCCATCGCCCTGGAAATTCCGTGGTTCGTATAACCGGCAATCCTTTTGGCGATTCACGATGGAAAATGCCGTCGGGTGCGAAGACTTTGATACAAAGGTGTTATACAGAGCGTCTACTGCTGTTTCAGTACTTCCCTATAAACTGAAATTGTTCCACAGTGGGCCTTGTGATGAAAATAGCCTGACTGAATCCGTACGTGGGGAAAATTATTTGTAGAAGAGAAGAAAAAGTCAGACGAAACCATAAAGTTGATCCCTTTAAGATGACTTAGGAGATGTAGGAAAGACCGAAAGCAGGTCGAAGAGATGGCGCCAGAAGATGAGGTGGTAAACGAAATTCATCTCTTGCTGTGATACTATTTCTCAGCGCGAACTTCATCGCGCTCTTACCAGCACGTGAGATGCCCCTTAACGGAGATTCCTCGCGTATGAGACCTTATTTGGATGCCGCTAATGAACTAGATGGGGAAGAAAAAATATAGGCCTTTGCCTGTAATTACTGTGTTGCAAGAACACAGAGATGTGAGGGTGTCATAATATGCCCTATGTATGATATTTGTGTGTGAAATCCCTACATGAAACAAAAATTGTCCCTTAAGGCTTTCATGAATATCGCTTGCTGGGGACACGTTGACCCTTTTCATGCCATGTATTTACAATGCAACCCCTTTCCCCTAGCGGCTCGCCGTTTGCGTTACAACCAAACATGCTGCGACAAATATTGCTGACATGGCTGCCTTTTATCATCTTTAAAGTTTCCTCACTTGTTCAGATTCACCCTGTATAGGGAAAATAAAGATAAGACATAAGTTTTGCTATCAAGGAAAAGACAGTAGATTGTAAATATGAAGATAAGATTTTTACAGTATTTATAAAAAATTATTCGTGCAATATTTCAGTCGTAGAAATAATTTATTTAAATGCCCTTAACTTGTAACTAAAAACTGTGATATTAAAAGTAATTCTGATGTTTTGCATTTTTAAATTAATAAAGAACTTTTAAATATGAAAATTCTATGCGCATTTTGAGATTAATAGATGGTTTTATTTATAAGTAACAAATCAAGAAATGTTAAATTTTCCCATTTGACAGTTGATATGCAATACACAATAAAATACGGCAAAATACTTTATTTCAGATATCATGTAAAGTTTACACAAATAATTTTTAGATATAAGTCCTTTTCCAAAAACACATCTGTTCTATTTTAGTAACTTTAATTAAACATTTGCAAACTAGATAAGTTATGCAAAAGAAATTTCAAAATGCAATAAACATGTTTTTGAATGGCGAGATAAGTTTTCTTAATAGTTTTTGTTAAATTTATAATTCTTTGCAAAACTGAACTAAAATTAAATTATACAAGAAATTAATTTTGGGAATATTTTAGGCTACTTTGGATTATCTCCTGGACTTTTCAAATAATAATAACAATAATTATTAGAATTGTATTATTTTAAATCCCTCTTCCTGCTGTGCTCCATGTAACAATCTTCATGCTGAATGAAAGCTAAAAGCAGGAAAGGTATTATCCCCCTCCTTTCAGCATGCCTTCATGGTATAGTGGTAGCACACTCGGGGGCGTATTCGAGAGGTCCAGCAACTCTCAGCAACAGCACTGCACATTTTTCACATTTCCTGCTTTTAAAAAATCTGAATGACTCTACAAGTAGTGCCCGAACTAAAAAAGGTGGTGGACGATCGAACCACCAGAATTTGGCTATTGGATCCCTTATTCCCCAGTTTTAAAAGGGTGAGTATATAAGGTATTTTCTCCCTCCTTTCGGCATGTCTTCGTGGTGTAATGCGGAGTTACTCCACGAAGACATGAGAACGAGTGTTTCACACTCGGAGTGTATTCGATATATCTAGATTTGAGTTCTAGAAAGGGCATTGCACATTTTTCAAGTATAAAGATTAAGAAAAAAAACCTAATCACTCTACAAAGGATTCAGGAAAATTTTCTGAAAAACATGGTTTTAGTAGCCATCTCTAAAGGGAGGGGGAAACAGTTTCAAAGTAAGTAGACAAATCGTGGCGTAAAGTTTAGCAGCAGATTTTTGCCTGCTTCCAAAAGTAATATTTCTTATCATTCAAAATTTGTCATGCAGCTCCCGAAAAACAAAGGAAAAAAAAAATTCTAGAGTCATTACATTATCTTGAAGCAGGAGAAGTGAAAAATATGCAATACCCTCCCCTGAACTCGAACCTGGACCTCTCGAATATGCGCCGAGTATGCTACCCGTTATACCACGAAGGCATGCTGGAGAAAGGAGGAAATACCTCATACACTTCACCTTTTAAAGGACGACTGGGGATAAGGGTGTAAAGTATTTCTCCTACTTCCCTAGCGTGCCTTCGTGGTGTAGTGGTTCTGCGCGCTGGGCCAGTATTCCAGAGGTCCGTGGTTCGATTCCCGGCGAAGGCAGTTGTTAATTTTTCATTTCTCCTGCTTCCGAAAAAATAACTAATGCCTCTACAAGATTAAAAACGGTTGTGGATGATGATTCTCCGCACCCAGGATTTGGCGACTAGGTCCCCTAAAACCCTAGTCGCCCTTTAAAAAGGGGAGTATATAAGGTATTTCTCCTACTTCCCTAGCGTGCCTTCGTGGTGTAGTGGTTCTGCGCGCCGGGCCAGTATTCTAGAGGTCCGTGGCTCGATTCCCGGCGAAGGCAGTTGTTAATTTTTCATTTCTCCTGCTTCCAAAAAAATAACTAATGCCTCTACAAGATTAAAAACGGTTGTGGATGATGATTCTCCGCACCCAGGATTTGGCGACTAGGTCCCCTAAAACCCTAGTCGCCCTTTAAAAAGGGGAGTATATAAGGTATTTCTCCTACTTCCCTAGCGTGCCTTCGTGGTGTAACGGTAGCACGCTGGGCCGCTATTCCAGAGGTCCGTGGTTCGTTTCCCGGTGAAGGCGTTTGCTATTTTTTCATTTTTTCTGCCTCTAAAGAAATCCTAATGACTCTACAAGGGGACCCAATTATCATTCAGCACCTTTTAATTCGGGAGCCATTGTAGGGTCATCAGGTTCTTTTGAAGCAGGAGACTTGAAAAATGTGCAATGCCTTTGCCGTTACGCGTCGTTTAACATTGATCAACTCGATGCGCGGTTCGCAAACCGCGCATTCAGTTGATCAATGTTAAACGACTTTCGCTTACTGCGCATGCCCAGGCTAGAATTTGGCGCAACTTTAAAAAGAAGATAAATAAGGTATATGGTTGATATTGTGTTTATCCGACAGTAAACATTTCGGGGTTTTAAAACTTGTTAGGTTGTAAATTGTTTCATTACTTAGAATGTAAATATCGGTTGTAAACTACGCAGAATTTCGTTTAAGGAGGATTACAAAACAGGAAACATTACAAGATATATATTTGCTGATTATACTTCTGAGGAATAAAAGCAATTGAATTTTTACCATTCATTAAATTCGTATATACTTTAACACATTAAGGAATAAATCCAGTTTAAATTACTGAATTAAAGTCAAACAACTGATATAAAATCAAAATAAATGAAACAGTAGCATATGCGATAAGTATACACAAATTTACGTAGTATTGCTATTGTAAAACAGTGAAACAACATGGCTAACAGGCTTGTGTAGGGTTGCGTATGCCTCCTCAGTCGCCAGCATTTCCTCCCACGCCAACGGTGTACTATTGATCATACCCAGTAAGCCAAATTCGTTAACACTGATCAACTCAATGTGCGGTGTGTCGTTACTCCACCGGGACTCGAACCTGGACCTCTCGAATATGCGCCGAGTGTGCTACTGTTACACCATGAAGACATGCTGTAGAAGAGGGAGAAAATACCTTATAACTTTATGCTTTTATGATAATGTTTAATATTTTCTAGTGCCCTGTACCAATAACCGGTACAAAATTGTATCTTCAAGTGCCCTGTACCAATAACCGGTACATAAACCCACCTTCAAGTGCCTGTACCAATAACCGGTACATAAACCCATCTTCAAGTGCCTGTACCAATAACCGGTACAAAATGCCAAACAGATATAAAACGGTGCTCTGTGTATAAGGGAACCGCGCATGTTTTTCAGTGAGCACATAAATTTCCAACTCTACGCATAGATTTGTATTTCATCTTCAATTATCAGGCAGACTATACATAAGCAAACTGTAATAAATAAATGAGTAACACAAGTGACTACTATGAATATGACAAGCAAATATTACACAAGAACTCTGCAAATATGTGAAGAGCACATATGATGTACATTACTATAACCAGTTGATATTGTTCAGTACAATGCATCTGAATAACTTCCTATATCCAAGTTATCACTGACTTCTAGAGTAAACATTCTTTATGACCTCAGAATCACAATGCATAAAACACTACTAAAATCCTCATTCAGCACAGTCAAAGTCTTGACAGGGTCTCTTTAATAACCACAGGCCACAAATACCCATCTTCCGAAGTAACTTTATAAACTCCCTTACAAATTTTAATATTCTGTAGAGATTTTCGGTTAGTCCTAGCGACAGCAGAATGCTCCACCAATTGAGTACAAATGCTGATAGTCATATAACAGGCCGTACAGCAATTTAGCTGGTGGTTAGTAAGTAAGTAATATGTTATATCAACAATTCTCAAAACAGTAATGATACAGAAATTAAGAAACATATTATCGCTACGAATCGCTGTCGTAACGATAACAGAGGGGTGACACAATTTTTCATTAAGATTACAATGAGACCTATTGACTCTGAAACCTGGACGTAAGACACAAAAGATTCATCTAACTGTTAACGAAAGTCCTAAGAAAGGTCTTTGGTGCTGTAAATATTGACAGCTTATGGGGATATAAATATAACAACGAATTATATGTAAGTTACGTTAAGAAAGTGATATTATTGAATACTTTAAAATTAATTGTGTGAAACTGGCTGGTCATATTTCCGGAACGAATTCTTTTCTCTTAGCACTTAAAAATTTTAACCATAAACAAATGAGGAAACTACACCCTTTGTCAGAAAAGTTCCAGGACAATTTAAAAAAAAAAAAAAAAAAAAAAAAATCTGAATTTGCAGTGCTAAAAAAAGAATAAATGTTGTTTTTATGTTACCTGGTATGTATTGTTACTTGACATAACCTTGACCGTGTTTCCACGCAAATTTACTAGGTGACACAATAGATGGTCGTGTTTTCGAGTAGCACAAAAGGTTTGATGAAGGCAAAGATTCAGCGCAAGACGATCCCGGAGCTGGTCGCCCTTCTATAGCACATAGACATGCAAACGTGGAGCGTGAAGGTAGTTATTGCAAGAAGACCGTCGTGTAACTGTGCGTAAAATATCAGAAGAACTGAATTTCTATCGTGATGTGTGTCATGAGATTTTACGCGAAGATTTAGGGAAACGGAAACTTAATGCAACTTCACTCACTAACAGATGAACAAAAAGAGGAAAGACGAAGAATTGTTGCTAAACTATTGGATAAAGCCAGACGTGATTCCACATTTGTGACAGAGATTATTATGATTTTTTCTTGTTTCCGTAAGTGAAAAGGTGACTGAAAAGAAAGCTTCATCAATGGGCATCCGACGGACTGTGACCAATGAGCTTGCAGGCATCGCAGTTGAAGATTCCCCTGCTTGCTTCCAAGACCTCCAGAAACGTTGGCATTTGTACATACGTAGATAGCCAAGGGGACTACTTTGATAGTAGCTAGGATCAATACTTGATAAATGCAATTTTCTATTTTTTACGACCTTTGTCCTGGAACTTTTCTGTCAAAAGATGTAGTCACAGGAAGCTCCATATTTCAATGGTTGGATTTTATCGATAGTATTAAAATTACTAATTTGAAAAGTTCTGGTCAAAAATAGAGCGAAGTGGGCGAGAGCTGTAAGAAAAGCCATGGATCATCTTAGGCTGTCGTGCCAATAAATGAATATAAATATTATTTATATGTATATTACTCAACGTTGCTTCGTTCCAGGTGTTAAAGATAAACTATGAATCGTTCCCAGACCT